TACCTTTCTATCAGCTATACATGCTAGATGTATTGTTGGTTTTAGGAGTAGTATTTACATTGGTATTGTTTATAGTTGTAGCTATGGTAAAACGAATGATTAACCTTTGTCGCGGCGCTCGAAACAAAGCTAAAACGTCGTAGTTAATGTTGACTATTTTTAAAATCCTTACAAGGCAAAAAGAAGATAATCCTTCCGCAAAATAATAAAAAAAAGACAATAACTTTAGATAAATGACTTTGCATGACACATACAGTTAAACTCTCTTTGAACGACCATTCTAGTAAGCGGCCATCTCCCGTAAGCGACCGCCTTTTAAATTGGCCCGTTTTATTCAGTTTTCCATATAAAAAAAACTTTCTCGTAAGCGACCATCTCTCGTAAGCGACCACTTTCCTGATCCCGAGGTGGTCGCTTACGAGAGAGTTCACTGTGTTTTATAGATTTTGTTGTTTAATCTTTGAAGKTTCATTATTAACCGGCATTCAATGCGGTCACGTCTTAGATTTTCCATAAATGGAAAACAGGCTGACTTGAAGAAACCATGAGGAATCCGTTTCCATCCGTCGGCTTATAAATGATCACCTGTTGATACCAGCTATCCTTATGGGTAGCTGATCGTTTTTGTTTTTTGTTTTTTTTGCTACTGTTGTCCCGCTATTTTGGTCTAGTAGTAAATACTGTAACAAAACAAACACCTTTCAATCAAATTTTCTGTGATACACGGGGTTAATTTTTGTATAGTCCTGTGTACTCATTTGCGTAATACATGAGGCTAACTAGAAGAAAAAAAACATGTGTAATAAGTTTCTTTTAAAAATTTTTCATGCAAGGAAAAATAAACAAATAAAAGCGGGGTTGAATACCAATGCTCTCAGAGTATTTTTCAAGATTGCAGACATTTAGTTTCCAGTCTCATACATGTTCAAACGCAAGTTAAAATCCCCGCTCTTTGCCCGGCTTCGAAAATAATWCATCAAAATCCCGAAMCCCGGGGCAATCTTGCTGTTAAAAGCACGTTAAAATCGCATCACCTCACCGTTCAGGGGCGGGCGGMGGGGGGCGGTTTCAATCGACTAGTGCCACAGGGGGCCCAGGCTCAACAGTTGTGTTGCTTTCACGGCGGTGTCAAAGTATTAATTGCTTGGTTCGAGGTTCGAGCCCTCATGAAGCCSTAAMTTTTTTCTACTTCATTTCTTGAGACTTTTCAAGACTTTCTCTTTCTTTTCTTTTTTCTTTAATAAGTATAAACAGTTTTATGAATAAAGATTGATTTTATTTTTAAAGACTGTTTATACTTATTAAAGAAAAAAGAAAAGAAAGAGAAAGTCTTGAAAAGTCTCAAGAAATGAAGTAGAAAAAAATTACGGCTTCATGAGGGCTCGAACCTCGAACCAAGCAATTAATACTTTGACACCGCCGTGAAAGCAACACAACTGTTGAGCCTGGGCCCCCTGTGCTAGTGCTTTTATTAATTTGAATACAAGAGCACACTAGGAACGCCTGGCACAAACCAACTTCTTGGGTCACGAGACACTTTATAGTGCAAACAACTCGGCACGMAATATCAAGAACTCTTATATTTAAGATCTTGTAATGAATATTCTTCTTCCTTTCTGTTTTCTGTTATTTATGGAAAGCTGTTTTGCTGTAAAAGTAGTGATGCTACCGATGTTTGGGCCCAGTCACTACCTTGTTACGGCAAAGCTTGGCGAGGAGCTCAACAGAAGAGGCCATGAGGTTTGTAAACTTCTCTGCTTTATCAAGCAAGTGTACTTGCAACAAGTTGGTGGTCTTCATTTGAAATATTAGTACAAACCTCAAGCAGTGCTCAAAGTCATCTTTAATGTCTGTGATTTCCCTTTTTGTGCTWTTTCATAGGCGAGTTTTATGACCTTTTGATACTTGAATAATTTGCTATTCTATTCGTGACGCTTCAGTGCTCACTTGCTTAGAGGCTAAAATCTTGGACAAAATGAGCTGAGAACTCTTGTAAAATCAYATAACATTGCTAAGTCTGCGCAGATTTCGCATACTTGCTTACCCTCCCCATATCACTTCTCGCTCAAAGTTGTGTTTCAAAGATCAAACATACTTGATTGGATTAACACTTTTTTGTGGACGGGAGGGGATTGAACGAGCGTTCGTTGATCCGAGACGTGAAAGATACGACCTTTTTGTCCAAATTAAGATTGTATTCTAAAAATAAATATCATCAGTTATTTGTATCCATATCTTATCAATGCATGGTATAGATTAACCACATCGCGAAGGACATCGTAGAAAACTAAAACCTCTCAGATCTCAGTTGTTGTCCACTCAGGTTTTGTAATATGATTACAGGTCTCGATATTTGTATATGAAGGAGCTCATTATGCCTCTGAAGCAAAGCCACTCGTCAAAGTCTTCAAAATTAAGAATCTAAATGACATTGTCGATCATGTAAAAGGGGTTACTCTTTCTTCAAGTCCAGGCATTAAAAAACAGCTTACACAAATACTTACGCTACAGACAGATTACTGTGACAGCTTTCTAAGTGATAAAAAGGTATTGAATGAGCTCGAAACTGCTGAAATAATTGTTGGCGATGGAATGTTCATGTGTTCAACGTTAGCTGCTGCAAAGTTTGACATTCCTCATGTTACTGTGGTTCAAAGTAGTCTCGCAACTCCATTTATAGAGTTGTTTGGAGTATCAACATACCCGAGCTATATTCCTCAAATGATATCCGGCTTATCTGCAAATATGGGTTTACTGGGTAGAGTAAARAACTTTGGATTTTACCTGGGAAGGCTTGCTTTAGCAGAAATATATGCTTGGTACTTTAGTGGAGTGAAGATAAAACACAACATCAAACCTGAAGAAAGCATTTGGAAGACAATGCGAAGAGCAGATTTAGTTCTATTGGAGAGGGACCTTGTGTTAGACTATTCCTCGCCTTTGCCACCTTGTAAGTAGAAAGTCCCCCCCCCCCCCCCCCACCTCCAATGATTTTTCCCCCATTTTGAATTTTCTTAAATAGATAAGCGAAGAGCCTCCTTATGAAATTTCACTTTTCATTCTATAAAGATTGTGTAAAAACTAATCGTGAAAAATTAAAATTGAAGCTTTTTTTGAGAAGTCTTTGGGAATTTATTGAATATCTTGTGACCTTGTGTGCGGTTGTAGCGGTCAGAAATATGTCTTGGATAACGAATGAAAAAACGGTGGAAATGACATTTCCGAGAGTTTAAGATTTCAAAATTTCCGTGGGGAAAACCCCCAACCCCCGAGTTCCTCCTATCTATCCCCCCCCAAACAAATTCCCGCTCCGCGGTCCCTGATTTACTGGACAGGACATGCTCTTGGTGTGTGCGTTCGTAGAATGGACCCTAAGGACAYTCGGAAGGGTAAAGCGGAACGTGGAAACATCAAAATGCTTTTATTACCATGATATTATYATCAAAATGTATTCATTATGTTTCACAGATGTAAAAGAAGTCGGTAGTTTTATGCCTGGCCCTGCTAAACCTCTTCAGCCTGAATGGGAATCGATCATGTCGAGTTCTGGTGACGACGGAGTAATTCTTGTAGCGTTTGGATCGATGTTGTATACGTTGGACAATAAAATCGTTGCAACAATGAACGAAGCGTTTTCAAGACTTCCTCAGAAAGTGATTTGGAGAATAAACACAGGTAATGCTAATAGAAGGACGTGCCTAATTTAAGTTTTATAAGAAGAGATTTACGAAAAATTGCATATTTGTGAAGTGCGTTCAGAAGTATTTTGTTTTATGTACTGGAATCTATTTCTATTTTTCTGAGCCATAGAAAGAGGGGGTGGCTAGCCACCTCCTTGATCCCATGCAGTTTTGGGTGTTTATCATAGCCAAAAACACAGATGTTAATGGTCATGTATGTGTTATAGACAACAATCGTTATAGACCCCTTTGCAGTTCATTGTTGCTGTCCACCCAGTGAAGCTGCTTCGACGTCACGTGCAAGAGGTCTACACTCGGAAAGACTTTTTATTTTGTTATTAATTTTCAAGAATTAAGACTMAAGTTACAATGGAGAACACTATTTGCGGGTCTTGAGTAGTTTGATGCCAAACAATATCATTTATTAGTGTCTGTGTGAGTATCATTTACTCATTTTATATTTATTCTCAGACACGTTTGAAGGAAAAATTGCTCCAAACGTCAAAACTGTTCGGTGGCTTCCACAGAACGATATTCTTGGTCATCCAAAAACCAAGCTGTTCATTGGGCATGGTGGGGCCAGTGGGGTAGCAGAAACGGCATACCACGGTGTTCCAATGATCAGCTCACCTTTCTTCGGAGATCAGTTTGATAATTCACTCGGTGTGGAGTACATTGGTCTTGGTGAGATGCTTAGCGTCAAGACGACAACTGTTGACCAACTTGTTGAGGTGATAAAGAAAGTACTGACTGAGAAAAGGTACCTCACTGATATTAAAATTATTTAATATGTTTCTGCGCGAATGATCAACAGTCTCTTTACCTTCCCTCGAGTCTACCTTGCTATTGACCGACACATCATTCTGGTATTTTCTTATTAGTTTCTCAAGTTGCAGCATGGACCTGATCAGCTAGCGGCGTTGCTTTAAACGTTTCCACCCAATTCAAACCACCCGGGAGTAAGTTTCATTGTTCGTCGGTATTTTCATTTCACAGGTGAATTCTTAGAGACAAAAGTTCTTTTTCCCACATGATTTGAATTGGGTGGTAACGTATGGAAACGCGTTAGCCGATTATGTTTGTTGGCATTCTTTGATGTTCTTTAAATTGCAGATATAAAGAAACAGCTGCGCATCTCTCAACCGTGCTGAAAATGCGACCAAGAACACCTGTTGAAGAAGCAGCAGAGCTTGTAGAATACCTCCATGCCGTTGGTAACCTGGCTCATCTCAAGCCAAAGGGCCTGGAACTACCTTTCTATCAGCTATACATGCTAGATGTATTGTTGGTTCTAGGAGTAGTATTTGCTTTGGTCTTGTTTATTGTTAGATCTGTTGTGAAACGAGTGATTAACGTTTGTTGTGGCGCTGCAAAGAAAACCAAAACGTCTTAGAGAATCTCTACATAAACACTGCACTTTAAGGAAAGAAGACAAACTAAAATTTCTTATTGAAATGCTGATGTACTCTTCTCTGGCTTGCACGTATAAAAAGTCAGTTCACTGA